CTTTTGGACAGTTGTTTATGGAAAAGCTCAAGATTATGAGGATGTTAGGGTTGTAGCGTTCTGCCAAACTCAAAAATGATGATAAAAGCAACGTTTCAAAGTTTCAAATGTGCTTTCAGGGACACATTTGACCCCCCTCTCTCCTTTTTCTAACATAGCTGTTTATGGGATAAGACAAAAACATTTTTGAAGTGAACTTTTTATCTTAAAAAGACATTTTAGGAGAGCAAACACTCCTCGAAGTAACTCCGGTCATGATAAGGTTGTTTTCTACTGAGGCTGACAGAATAAAATAGTCATTAAGAGTATTTTGTATATTGAGATTACCACCTCCAGCCTGTCCACAGTTTGGGAATAGTCTAGTGAGACAAAGAATCCCAATTATATTTAGATTTAAAGTTGAGTATCAGTCACCAAGCCCTTTGCCAAGAAGACCACAAGTGGTTCAACCACTGTGCCAGGAAATTCCAGTGGCTGAAAGAACATTTCTTAGTATCAGAAATATCCATTTGCTTGTTTTGGCTGGTGGTGTGTCATATGAACGAGAAGGCTGCACTGGTTGCTCGGGTTATGTTTTTCTTTTGATATTGGTGAATTCAATTACAGCCTTTAAAGTTGTGGAGTAAATTCCGTTCATGCTTTGTGATGATATTTTTGAGTGCTTTACAATGAGGGAGTCAATCAGTCAGGTTGTTTTTGACTGATGTGTCCCTCGGTGGTCAAGACTGAAGCTTCTGTTCAATGATTAGCAGAAAGAGGAATCGCTCCAGAGGTCTTTGGCTTGTCACTTTGTCCCCAACAAATCATCCACTTACACACTTTATTTGGACAGACAACTTAATGAGAAAAACAGAGAACCAAATCAGGGGGTGCTGTTTAGGTATTTGCACTAGGTTTCAATTTTTCCTGTCGGATAGAGACAGATTCAGGGGAAGGAAATGCTATCGTGGTCTTCTTATTGTGGAAAAGACAAGAATTATCACCAGATATGACCGCTTCTGGACTTCCTCCCGTGCCTTTAAGCAAACAACGTTTAATTTAGCATTAGTATCTCTGGCTTTTTCCCAGGCTTTGTGATATAGGCAGTGTATTCTTTGGCGTTCGTTTGTCTTTTCTTTATTAAATCAACTGTTAAGTGGAGTTCAAATATTGGTTTCTAAGTCATATTAATGCATGGTTGCTTTACCTGGAATTCCAGAGAGATTTTTTTTCCTCTCTCAAAATTATACATAAAAAAAAAAAAATCATGAATGGCTAGACTTTAAAGATGAGTGAGAAAATGATTTAGTTTTTTGCCAGCAATTTAATTATCTGCTAACTAATTTGAAACCTCAGCTTATTACTTATTACTTATTACTTATACTTATTACATGGTGTGGCTTCCTTGTATTGGGTTTTATTTCTTTTATAAGTGTTTTATTAAAAGTCAAAGTGTTTATTTGGGATCTGATTAATGATGGCTATTGAAAAGTTTGTTTTCAAGGGCCTGCTTCATTTCATGCTTATGAAAATGAACAGTGAAGTATTTATTATTTGTTAATTTTTTCATGTATTATGGATGCTTCATGTAGTTTCCAAACTGCACAGCAAGTAGACAGTAAAGACATTTTAATGTTACAAACTAATGGCTGCTGAAATTTCAGCTTTGCCATCACAGGAATAAATTACACTTTAAAATATATAAAAATAGAAAACAGCTATTTTAAATTGTAACAATATTTCATTTTTTTTCTATATTTTAGTAAATAAAAACAGGTGTGCCTATAGTTAGCTAAAAACAATAAAAGTCCTCCGAGCATTATTAATGTCCCCAGACGTCAGAACATAACACACATTGGTATTTTCCCCTTTGCTTAGCTTTGTCATATTTAAATGCAACATCTGCTTTGGAGCAGAACATGAGGTCAGAGAAAGAAAACCGCTGATGTTGGATTGACTGGATCGCACGAGGGCAGGAGGCCTGCAAATAATTCCCTCCTCAGGGGAAAACAAAACACAAACAAAACAACACGTCAGGTTAATAGATGTTTAGATAGGCTTTAAACATGTTTCCAGCTGCCATTAGACTCCACTTAGACATGACTGTGCTGTGAGTGAAGAGTTAAACAGAGCTAGTAGAGTGAACATTTTTCTGGAGATTATAAAGTATGTTACATAATTTAATATTTCTACATTTTTTGGTGTTTTGTGTATTTTGTGTATCTAAATTATTATAATTTTTATTAGTGCATCGGTGTTATGGACGTTCTGGATAAGCCACTGCTATAATTCAGACAGGAACCCAACAGGAACATGCACTTTCTTCATACTGTCTCTCTTCTGGGTCATTCCTGGGTTTGCCATGTGGGTCAAAATTTGTAATGATCACTGGCTGTGGTTTCTATACACGTTACAAGCTTCCAAGAGTCAGCTAGATCCAAATCGGCACTGCAAAGCAAAGGGGCTTTACTAAACCAACTCGAAAGTACCCCCTCTGAAAGAAACCTGCTGTTTCTGCACATTTTTCATACTATCTGCCTATGAAATATTTCTAAGCTTGGGCCAAATGTCTAGAAGCATTATGACTGGCACAAACTGAATAATTTAGGCTAGTACCTTGTAACATATGAAGAAAGCTGACAAAAATGAACACAAAGGTTAATATTGAAACATTTATTCATGATGCTTCTGTTTAGCCGGTTCACACTGTGATTTATTTTTCTAATTCAGTTCACTCCTGCAAAGTTTGAGAACGACTCATTCATCATGTAGCGGATTCCTATCTGGCATATGATTTATTGCATTTTCATAGATTAAATGTAAATCGTTTTTACACTGTTAGATCTCAAGCTGACTTCCTGTGTGCACAGCACAATCTGGCACCTGTCATTTGTTTGCACTGCAGATGCCTCAGTGATTTTAGATGTGATGTGGTCTGACAAGTGTGTGTGTGTGTGTGTGTGTGTGTGTGTGTGTGTGTGTGTGTGTGTGTGTGTGTGTGTGTGT